TACCAGGTCGGGAGGCTGGGGAAGGTTGGAACCGACTGAACCACAGACTGGCTGATGGTGAGAGCTATGGAGAAAAAGGGGACGGTGGTAGTCTAAGACTTGAGAAGGTCGGTGGCAAACTCGATGCAGAAACTATGAGCTTGAAGGAACTCGGCCTCCAAAATAACATTCTACTGGATATCAGGACAAACATAAAAGCGATAGCGAAATTCCGCTGAACCGAGGCAAAATGGTGCGTCGACTACGTACGAAAAAGGGAGGGACGTCCATTAGCGGCCACCATAGGGGTATGCTTGTTTGAGGTCTTGGCTTACTGAAGCCAGGCGTCCAAGAACAATTTAGGCTTAAGAAAGAAGAAGGCAACCCCTGTGTTCACAATAAATGCTTATTGCCTGATGCCAACGGTTACGTCAAAAATAGGTTCAGGAAAGTCAGAACTTGATGTGACAGAAAGGACTGTATATGACTCACTCGAAACTTCAGCAACTCGAGCCTGGCGAGTGAAATTTCGGTACGGCTGTGTCGCTGCCGATGGAGTCTGACTTTGCCGGAGAACAGAAGCTGAGTAGCACGGAGTGCAGACCGACGGCCCATGGCCTACCTCGTACTCCTGCACAAGGGCTAGAAGGGAATCCGACGAAAGAGTGGTCTTCTTCAATAACTTCCGACGAAGGTTATCACCTTACAACTTAACGTATAAATGTGCAGTCAGACTGACATCAGTTACACTTGAAGGTTGGCCGGAGAAGGCTACAAGGATAGTGAGACGAAGATTCCCAAAGCAGCAGTGACTCGATATTAGTGTCAAACTGCACACCAAAACAGAAGCCTTGGTCAGCGCCACTGAGAAAAAATGGCGGGCGATATATCACGCGCGATCCTAGGCGGTGACTCAGTCCAAGTGGACACTGGCTTAAGAGTGTCGGATTTCGAAATTGCCACCCCGATTTAACAGTGGAAGCCTATCTAGGGACGACCGCCCTGTCACCAGAACAGAAATAAGGGCCTAAAAAAGCTCCATTACGCCTGCGCTGGCGGGCAATCTGGCTGGTTCCGAAGATCGTTTCCGGCGATTCATGCGGGAAACCGCTGCCACCAGTTTTATAGCGAACAAGCAGACAAGGTAGCTTACCATATAAGAGGGTCTCTTAGCGAGAAGGGTTTATTGGGGGATGAAAAAAGGGGAGGTAGCGAGACACCAAGGTGTTCAAGTGGAGGAAAATAGCCCATGAGTAGGCAGTTCCGAAAAGCCAATGGCGCACGCTTCGGGGAAAATCAGAATTGCCCGTTGCCCAGTCATGCATGGTCTTCCGTAGCCTTGCCCGGAGTCCGTTCCTCCGTTTATACAACACGTTTATCTCATATCAAAGGAAATAACTAAGGTAAGGAAGTGGTGTAGCGGCCTGGCGAGAAAGCGACGTCGGATGAAGTATGATGTTGGCAGGGAAGACTGCAGGTTTGACTCAGATGTACCAGCTGCTTGGAAAATCCTTTCTAGAAGTCCTTGCATTCCCAAACGAACGGCATCGGGTGCACCGGAAAACATGACATTGAATGAAGCAGGACAGTTAATTAAAAAATACAAATTTACTGTCGACTATAAAAGGTGATAAACTACTGCTAAGTGAGTTGCGGTAAAACGAAAAGAACGATAGAACGACTCATCGTGGAGGGGTTGAGAGTTGCTCGTCCGAACGTGACCTTGAGGGTACAATACCCGCAAAAAGGCAAGATGTCATTTGATGCGGGTGTCATTTAAAACAACCAAGGTTGGGAATCTGGTCAGGTATCAGGTTGTTTCATAGCCCCCCCCCCCTTAGGTGGAGCACTGTCCCCAGTACTAAGATCGACGGAAGGGGAGAGTGCGGTAACCTCTATGGCAACCGGTGGAACCTGGTCAGCAGGGAGGACGAGTGAGCAGTCTGATAAGCAACTGATAGGCAACCACGATAGGGTTTAATTTTATTACAGTGTCGTGAAGTGGCGAGCTTATAAGTAAGTGGCGTCGCGGATAAGCAGGGTGGTGGGCGAGTGGGTTTCTATAACAACAAAGGGTCATTGCCAGTGGTAATTGAACTTCGCGGAGGTTCCGCATGGGTGTAAATGGTTGTAATACAGGAAGAAATCGCCGATTTCATGTGCAGTGCCGGATGAATGACAGTCGAACTGCTCCTTTCGATGGAGTGATGAACTTCCTTGGATCGTCCGGGCCACGTTTTGTGCCCTACGAACGATCCCACGCAGGCGTGTGGTGTAACCGTGTGGGGCGGTTGTATCGGGGCTGGATAAGGGTTGGAGGAGGTCGATCGGGAGGCGCATGTCATGCCTGATCTAGAGGTAGTGGGGCGTGAAACCGGTGGAGGAATGTACGGAGACACGGCTGGATAAGAGACAGAAGGGCTGGTTTGCGTCCCAGTCGACTTTGAAATCACAAAAACACTGCCGCTGTTCTGTCTCTCTTTCGGAACACAATTAAGTAAACAAAAAAGGAACTAATTCTCATTTGCCCATCGGCGAGAGATAACGAATTTCCATCACAGGTTGGTGGCCGAAGACGTTGAGAGTAGCACGCGCGGGATAACGGGGAACAATGGATATAATTCCTAGCTAATTTGGTCTGAAGAGGGTTGTTAAGCGAGTCATCGATCTCATCCAAAATGACAGTAGAAAAAGTCAAATGGTTCGCAATATTTTAACTAACAGTAGCTGGATAGATACATGGGGAACGTTAACCGATACAAGGCTGATGAGAAGTACAGCGGATGCGATGATCCATCAAGATGAAGGGGCGATACCGACATACCAGGTAGACAACCGGTGAGGAGTGCAGCGCAGTCGGCAACTCCAGGGTGGGGCCGTGGAAAGCACCGACGTGAAGGGGGAGACACGGTACGGTAACGGCTGGAGAGTGGTCGGTGTGGACGTTAGGACAGAACACAGGTTGTCTTTGCCGACACGCAGTCACGCCAACTTCATCCTGGCTCCGCGTTCCAGTGTCACAACATTCAAAAAACCCTGTTCGGTTCAAGGTGTAATGCCCCTTGGCACGAATAGCATTGTCTGAATGTTGTAACACTTTTGACGCGGACCTGGTATGAAAATGGTGTAACTGCGTGCTGGTAAAGACGGCGGGTGTCCCTTCCTCTTGCTATCGCCGACACTCCCACTCCCGCAACGCACTCTGACTCTCGTCTCTCTCCAACTCAACGTCGGTCCTTCCCTGCAGTTGCCCACAGCGCTGCATCCCCACCGACTATTTAGCTAGTATTTGAGGGTC